TAAAATGTAAATATTACTAACAATATGCTTGAAATGTTATTCTGATACAGTGATAACATATCAAGCTAAACTATTGTACTTGTATTCTTATGCATATTTTTCAATGTTTGGTTACATATTTACAAAGTATAACACTAGAACACCACAAATATTCTATCACATACTGGAAACATGAAAATGTATAACTAATTAACATAGTAAAATAGATAGGAGAATTATAGGAATTAGACCTGCAAAGTTTGTTCATTAAAGAAGAAAGGAAGGAGATAAGAATAGGGGCACTGTAAAATTAATTGTAAATAACTAGTCGTGTTAACGATTAGGTACACGTGACTAATATAATTAATGCGCCCAGTGTTAACTTGTGATTATGTTTATCAACATTGTTATACATAGTGCCATTTCTTCATTCAATTCCCTATCACATGAGCATGAGCAAGTACAACTATGTTTTGATTTATTTTCTGCACTTTATGAATTATAATATGTTTATACAATGAATATTCTTTGTTTTATAAGAATACGATTGTTGAGTACTTGAAAACTATATAAAAATGAGTGTACTAAGTGAAAGTTATGAAATAATACTTTAAATAGATATCATTTCAAATATTTGGTCAATATTTCGAATCATGATTGAGATCTAGTATCTTTTAATTAAATAGTATAAATCTTCAAAAATTTAAATTCGAAACTGCTGCTTTTTATCAAAATGTGAACATGCTACAAAAGTATTTGTATAATTTATGTTTCTTTTCTGGTCTTACAGTTGATTAAATCTGAATATTACACTCAGGTATTTTTAAACAATTATGATTATTTACTACGTTGCACATTGGAAACAATAGTGATGAATGTATAACTACGAGTTAAAAGTCTGACATTCGTACATACATTAATTAAAAACCTGAGATTCGTTTGTTGAACATAATTTTTTTAATTCTATGCCTGATTATATCATGATACTAAAAATAAAACATTTGTACAATAGATAACATTATGAAATGTGGAACATATTCTGACAATTAAACAAATACATATATAATTATTCATGTTATTAATTACGATTTGATTGCCCTTAAAATGATGTTGAAACAATAAAATGCTAAACTGCGTATCAAATTTAACAAAAAGACAATTAATATTGTTATTATGGCTAGCACCAGTCAGCCATATACGTAAAATCTTTAAATAGATTTTGTTCTGAATCACTAAGTGGTCTAGGATCTTTAGGTGGAGTTAATTGTGGTTTCTCTGATGTAAATTCTTCATCAAAATTACTGACATCTTCCACAGAATGCTGAAATATAAATATAAATACTATTTACTAACAAATATATTAACTACTGTAAAAAAAAAATGGGGAAAAAATTAATACTTACAATTACTGGAACAAATGGTGGTTTTACTCGTCTTAAAAGTAAATCATCCCAAGCTATATGCCAGAAGAACGCTTGTTTCTTGACATCTTCAGCATCTCTTTCGCTACTACCCAATCTTCTAGCAGGATTTTTTCTTAATAACTATAATTAAACATAAATAACGTAGACGATTGGTATTCTATTTGTTACTTTATTAGTAGAAATATATTTATATTACCCTTCGCATTATTGCAATTGCTTCTAAAGAAAGAAATCGTGGATAACGAACTTCATCGTTCACAATGGAATCAAAAACTTCTTCCTCATCATCACCAGGAAATGGTGACTAAATAAGAAAATGTTAATTAGTACATGATCTAATTTACTCAATTCCACAAATTAAATTAAATTAAATGCTTACTTCACCAACAAGCATTTCAAATATTAATACACCAAGACCCCACCAGTCAACAGCACGTGTATATGAGGTTTCTGTAAGAACCTCGGGAGCTAAAAATTCTGGAGTACCACAAAATGTTCCTGTTCTATCTCCATATCCCATTCCCTCTTTACATAAACCAAAATCCGCAATTTTTACATATCCCTCTGTATCCAACAGTAAATTATCTAATTTTAAATCTCTGTAAATTTAATAAAATTATTAGCGTATTTAGAATAAAATCTCACAAATATTTTTATTTAAATATTTACCTGTAAATAATTCGACTTTCATGCAAATATTGCAACCCTAATACAACGCACGCTGAGTAAAATACAGCTCGTGGTTCTCCAAACACATCTGCGTGTATATGCATCATAAGATCTCCTCCAGCTGCATATTCCATTACAAAACACACATGCGCCTATAAAGAATAAAACTTTAATTTTCGATATTCTACATGAGATATCTATCGTGAACATAAGTAAAATAATATATACCTCAGTTTGAAAACAAGCAAATAGATTTACAAGGAAAGGATGACGCGTGGCATTGGCAACTTCAAATATTCTTTTCTCTGAAAGTAATGACTCTACCTCATCCCTCGCTATTATATCTCCTTTTTTCAATGCTTTGATTGCAAAGTATTCTCCTGTATTTCTATATTGCGATAGAATTACTTTCCCAAAATGACCGCGGCCAAGAACCGAGAGTAGTCTGAAGTTTTCTATAGTCATTCCAGTAAGTTGTGAATGTCTTCTAGATTCGTAAGCACTGTCTCTATATTGAGCAGGCTTATTCGGCATTTCATACACAACCTATAATCGTCAAAATGTTTAGCTTAAAGTACCATAAAAAAAAAATAATGATTAGATTTTAATTAAAAATCTTTAATTTTAGTATAATGTCTACGTATATTAGTGTATTTTAGAAATGAAATCAATTCCATTTATTAATGGTATTCTTACTATTTTATACAGAAAAACCCCTAAAGCTGTTGAATAATCAAGTATTTGCAACATTAGCCTCAAGATTACATGTATATAATATGAAACATGTGCAATATTTGAAGCTTATACGAAGATACGTAATATGCATACATAGACATGCAAAAAATTTAAGTACATGCATTTTGTATGTTTGTGAGAAAATTATTAACATAATAATTATATAGAGTTATATTCTGTTAAGTTAATAAATAAATTACAAGAACTTAAAAAAGAAATCTTATAGTTAACACGTTAGAAATATAGATGCACATAAATTTAAAAAAAAATTAAAATAAAGCTGCGTGTATTGGAGGTATGTACCTCATCTTCAGGAAACTCGACGACAGGTTGGGGCGAGGGTGTGCGTGGAGAGGTTGGTGCAATCAGCACAGCACGAGGCTCTGTTACGAGAGGCCTTAAATTTGCCCCCTGAGGACCCCCCTTTTCCTCGTTGTGCAGGAAATCAAACTCCCTTAATGCACTCTGTAACTACATTACTATCTGCTTACTAAAAGCTACTTTAAATTGTAACATACTCTAAACTGTAATGTACCAAAGTTTTACGTGATAAAGTTATAATGAATATTACAAATCGGATAATTTACATACTGAGAAAACAAATAGATCCAATTACTGAAGGGAGTTTGCTGCAACTTTGATGAAGGAATACTATGTATGTATTGCACAATGCATATTGCACAGTGTACCTTTTTTCATGTTGATGCTAAACATTATAAAAACAGCTATGCATAAAAAGCTAAGGATTAAAAATATGATATAAACTTAAAATAAGAAACGAATAAACAAATTTGTACACTTTAAGCATATAATAAGTTGCTGCTCATTATAGATTGCGTCCTAAAATTTGCAAGATACCTATAAAAAGGTATATATTTATGATATATTCGAAGCAGTATTTTACGCAGTTGAAAGTGAAATGTACTAACATGCCTTCATGAAATATATAATACTATGTACAAACATTAGCAAGTATATCAACTGAATATAATATATTGTACGCATATGTTCTACATGATTTTTACCCATAACCAGTACCAAAACCCTGAACCTTTCGAGTAAAAGAAAATACTAGATAGCTTCGAAATACTTTATAATAAGATGGACAGTTATAATATCTCTAAAAAGGTATAAATATAGTGTAAAATTATTTTCTATATAACGTTTTGGTGAGTGTAACATTATTGCAAAGAAAAAAAAAAAAAAAATGAAAGTAAATTTGCTATGACTTACTTCTTGGTCTAATTTTGGTGGCGGTGGAGGTGCAGGCATCGATGGCTTTTTCGTAACTGTAGGTGGTGGTGGTGGAGGATGTTCTGGAGGACGTGGCAGTGTAGGGCTACTACTTGAAGTTGACAAGCCTAAAGGTCTCGCTCCACCTAAACCTCCCTTTTCAGGATCAGGCAATTCTCCAGGCGTTTCAGGTTTATCTTCTAGCGAAGTATCAAAAACAAGTTGCAAAGGCGGTCCTAAAAAATAGTACAGTTTTGTACAACGATCTTATTACAAATGCAACAAAAAACATCTACCTACCTGATGGTGGACTTTCGGAATTTCTTGTATTGTGTAAGGAAGGAGCCGATCGTTTCAAGAGTCTACCCCAAGTTGCAACGTTAATGTTCATTTGATTAGCTCTTGGGAAATTCTTCACTTGTTGTTTAAAGATCTTGCGTTGACGTTGCAATTTAGGTTTTCTTGAGATCATAGGATTCAAAAATTTAATTTCAGCAAAGAGAAGACCTTGCGGTTCTAGTTGCAGAGCCATTCCGTGTCTCACATCATCGATAAATTCTTCTAAACGTAAAAATTTTATAGCGCAAAGAGATCTCCAATCTTTCCAATAAATGCCTATTTCAAGTTCTCTCGACTTATCTAGTTCGATGGAAAACCTATAAAAACAATGTATTCACATATACATTTCCGATTTTTTTAATTTACTTTAATTAAATTATAAGACTATAGCACATCTCCCATAAAAATATATATGTATACAATGAAAACAGTACCTTTGATCCCAAGCCTGCTGGGAACACGGTCGCCAACTAGTTTGTGCTACCGTTTGATTATCCAATTTAATAACTGCCATGATATCATCTGCAATAATTATAAAAAAGCAATGATATCCAGTCCTTTTATAAGAATTAACAATAATTTGTAAAACGAACTTACTACTTGTTTCATCCTTAACGCTGTACGATTTACTGGAACTGCGCCCTGTGACACCTTTGACGAAACTGCGTAGATCAGGACTTGCTGGATGCTCTCTTCTCGTACGACCAGGCACTTCTTCTGCCAAGTCTTGACATCCCATTAACCTTACCTACAATTACAATTACATATTATTGAAACAGGGAAATTTGTAAGAAGCTATCACTGTCTAAATTCTCTTCTACCTCTAATTGTCCAGTGACAGCAGCACATCTTGAAACTGAAGCAGGCACTGTAGCTTTACCTTCCAGAGGACCACGAAACGGTTGCAACGACGTGTACGTTACAGGAACCGGGCTAGCGGATTGAATACTAGCTAATTCCCTCTTTAATTGAGCAGCAGTACCACTGTCAGGTGGTAATTCTTGTCTTCTAAGTTCAAGGGATAATCTCAACAGGTCCAATTTTCTACTCGATTCAGCAAGACTTGCTTGAGCCTAAAACGATTCCAAACAAAATGTAAAAAAAGGAAAATTCTACCTCGAACAAAAGTACTCGTAAAGGTAAGAATGAGACGACTTACGCAATAATTACTAATATAATCAACGTTTATTAACAGCATTAACAACATTAAATAATTGTGTGTACCTGTATTAGCTTATATAAATGCAGAATGTTTTAGCAGATCATAACAATTATAAATAAAAAAAAAAAAGAATTGAGTATGGAATACGATATTTTACTCAATAAATACTAACTTAAACACACGCGTTATATATTACAAAACAAAAAACCTCGTAATATTTTTAATACAGTTTCATCAATCACGAAACAGACAGTACTAATAATAATATGATTTAAAAAATTTTCAAGTCTTAAGATTTGTCATTTCTCGGGATCGGGCGAAATATCCTCTTTTCATTCCGTAAACGAAATCCCGTTCGACGTTCGAATTCGCTTACAGAACGAGAACGTTCTCGTGAATTAAGTTCCTCAAAATGTCTTCGACAATGCTCGCAGGAGCACGAGGGATTCTTGGAAGGTCCTATATGATGGCCTGGCTTTCGAAACGCGTTTACTACCGCGCCGAATATCGATGCCTTCAAAATATGGTCGGTTCTTTCGCCCTGAGGCGTCATAAAGGGAGAAGTAACTCGCGAGGGTACTTTCGACGGAAGAGGGGAAGGGCTGTTGGAACCGAACGGACCAATTTGGTCACGAAAACTGTACGGATTGGGAATACTATCGCTACGCGTCGTGGAATCAGAATGATCCTGTTGTAAATTCTTTTGATTCAAAAGCTCTTGTTCAACTATCGGATTTCTATCTGTGGTAGATTTGCTTGTTCGTCGCACAGTCGGCAGTTTTTTCACCATTCTTTGACTATCCTCACTGGGTACGAAACTCCACCCAACTGTACCGCTTTCGTCAGATTCTTCGCCACTGTCAGCCGACGACCATCCCATCTCGTGTTTTTTTAAATATTCTTTCATCTTTCGATTCTGCAACAAATATTTGCGTTCGATTCCTGGCGAACGCCATTGTTTTCTTTCGCCTTCTGTCTTGGCCCACGTTTCCTCCATTCTTCGTATTCTCTCGCGATCGGAACTGCTCGCGTACTCGAAGCTATCACAAGGGCTCAAGCCCACTTTGTTAATTATCGGAGACTCCATGTCGGACAAGGTATCCTTAGACGAGGTAGCAATAGTCGAATCGTAATCGAATGGAATGCCCGCGTTAGAAGACGTAGCAGACAAGGGCGCAGAATCGAGGTCTCGAAGAGCACTGTACGAACTGAATTGCGAGGGATAAAGCGAGCTAAGGACGTCGTCGCTGTCATAGCCCTTCGAACTAGCTATGGAGGGCATCCTCATCGGGGCGTGTTTAAAGCTGTCGCATCGTCGTTCTGTAGCACGTTTCAGAAATGCCTTGTCATCTTGAAATCCCCTGGGCAAGACGTTACTCGCCACTTGAGTATGAGTGACTTTTACGTCTGGGTTCTCGAACACGGTCATAGGAGTTTCGCATTCATTCTCGGTCGACGTATCGGTGTTTTCGTCATCATCGGAGCCAGTGCAATACACGTCAATGTGCACGGTTCGCGATTTGCGTTTTGCGCTGTCATCTTTCGTTGACGAATCGGATCTTTCCGAATCGATTGAAGGACCGATGCTCGTGGCCTCGGAAACTGTTGGCGATCGACTCTCTTGCTAAAACCAGACACACATACAATACAAACCTACACATCTCTGGGCAGATAGACAGATACAACTCACCTTCTTCTTCTTCTGCTCGTTCAACGAAGAATGGAGACCAGTAGCTACTTTCCTTCTTACTTTGCTATCGCTGACGATCGTTGACGAAGATTCCCGGGATTCTATGTCTGTCGTTTGCGAAGATGCGTCTTTGCTGATGGTGGCCGACTTGGTCGTGACTTTTTCCTGTGTGACACTGCTGCAGAAATGTTCACCATGTGCGCTGGAAGTGCTCCCCTCGAGGCACTCCTCGCAAACTTCCGGTACCGTGCTGAACTGCTGACGCGAAAACGCATGTTGATGCGTCGATGGATGCCGCCAAGAACTGTCGTACGAATGCTTAACGATCTCACTGCTCGTTAGTTTGCTGAAACTTTGTTCCTTCGAGCCGTCTGCAGTATCCACGGCAGATAACACGATGCTGCATGTGCTTTTGCATCGACGATTGTACTGTTGCGAAAGAGTGTTAGTGGAGGGCCGGCGAGAAGGCAAACTCGAGTACGATTGAGGTGAAAATTGCCCGCTGTTATAGCCCGAGTCCGAGATATTTACACTCCGTCCTCTGGATGACATGGATTCGTCATTTCCGGACGATCCAGATCTTGGAATGGTGAAGCCTGGCTTTGGAGGTGGCGTTGACGTGAACACTATGTTTCCTCGCTGAAAGCCGAACGAGCTAGAGCTAGAAGAGGAAGACGCGGTTGGGCCGGAAGTCGTAACGACTGGCATCGTCGATGACGGGCATGATTGACTGGTGTTCCATCGATATATCATGCGAACACCACCGGTTGAATCTGTGACAGTTGAAGACATGCTTACTGGTACCTGGCTGGATTCCGAGGTGACTGGCGTGCCATGGCGAATCGTGACTTCTGCACGCACCAACCACGGTGGTGGTTGCGTGTTGTTCGAGTTGCCTCCGCGCCCGTACATGTCGCAGCCTTTTTCTTCAGCCTCCTCCACGCTGTTATACACCGGAGAATATCATCGCCTTGAGCGTTTAATCGGTTTCGCTGCGAAAACGCATTAGCGCTCTCCTCCCTTGCGAACAGAATCCGACGTTCTTTCGCTAATGTCGTTCCGTTGCACATCGATTCGAACGGTCGATCGTATTTGCGAAAGATGGAAGCACCGCGCCGCTATATGTTTCCCTTCTCGATCTCGTTTATTTTCCGCTGAATTTCAGCAGGCTCGATCGTCAGCTTAACGAGATCTACTTCGCGAGGGGTGAACTCGTTACGTAATATTTCTTGTAAAAATTGATTGAACACCTTCGAAACGTTTTCAGAAATTTTCAGAATACGTTTCACAAATCTGTGCGTATATTATGTATATAGTTCTTCGTGGAAAGACGACGATTCTGCGGTGCTACGTCTCCGTGGTCTATTTTCAGAAACAGTGTTACCGTGTTCGAGCGATTTCGGAATCTCTTTCTTGTATCGCTTCAGTGTTACGTATCGAAATTGTAAAATATATAGTCGTAGCATATATACATCATCTTCGTGAAATCGAAGCGTTTCTTTTCTCATCGGTGTTAAAAAATATTATTTTACATGTTTGAACGTGAATTTTTACTTGAATTTTCTTTTGCAGTTTGTACACGATCTTTAAATATATTGAGCTTAATTACATTCGTCTTCTCGTTTCTCGCAAAGTGACAACCCATACGTTACGGCAGTAACAGCAAGGTATAATTAGCACAATATAAATTTGGAGCAACGTACAGCCGAACCAAATATACCTGGAGCCAGATGATACTTTTAATACCTCACGTGATTATAACCGTTTTGTCTAGTGACAAATAAATCACGTATATCGAATGTCAATTCCCTCCGAATAAAAAAAGAAGAAAAGGAAAAAAGAATTGCTAATAGCACCTAGATAGCCAGTCTGAATAAATGCACGTTTTCTTTTGTCTTAATCTTGACGGTGATTTTTTTTTTTTTTTTTTTTTCACGAAATCTTGATCCAGAAGTCTCGATTCCAGGTCGAGGCGTTCTCGCCTCCGCAAACATACAATTATTCAACGTGCAACCTCCATCCTCTGTTTCTGTCAGTTCTGCTTCTGTCTTGGAATTCACGGGACAACGTTGGCGTTCTTAAAAATCTATCGCATCGAACAACTAGGAACTCGTTTTTCGATCGCCTCTTGCATTTCTTAGGCAACTCTCTGTCGCGAGATAGACACGTCAGTCTTCTTGTGGCAGATTGGGTGCGGGAGAGTGCGACGTCCAGCCGCGAGTACGATTCTGGGCGGAATCGAGTCAGTCTTGAGATTCAGGTCATAGTTTCGGCGCAATGGCAGAGATTACCCACGAGTACCAATATCTCCAGGAATGTCGAAGCAAAGGATACAGACATTTGTTGAGCAGATACGCGGTCGATTGGCGCACATGTCGTTGGTTTATCGCGTTGCTTACGACTGCGTTGTGCCAGCTCCCCTCGAGAGGTGGTAACTAAGCGCGACCCGAAAAGGCGTCATCGAAGACGACGGGGTAGCGGGGATTAGGCAGATGCTATTTCGAGACTGGCGCGTATATACGCCACTGCCGTTCGAATTCGACGTAGTCGTCTACGTTGGACGTGTTCGCGCGACTTGGATACACGGAAAATTGTTAATCTACTCGACGAATACGGTTGTCGAGCCTTCCGTTTCGATTTACGTCTAGCATGCGATACGATAATGCGTCCACGTTTCTCAAGCCTCGCCTATATATGGACATTTCGACTGTGAACGAGATTTTATAGATAGAAAATGACTGGCAATACTAATGAATGTTCTTCGCGTAAAAAGATGCGTATGAAAGCTGTACAATGATGTGACGGCTTTCAAAGGACAGCACGTCTATTAAAGTAGAATATGGCGTCAATAGCTGCCTTTTGACAGTGTATCTCCGTTCAGTCACAAAAGCTTTTCATTATCGAACGTCAGTCCTTGCTTCTTAGTGGCGTGTCGTATCATCGCAGCACATATTGAACAGGAAATGATACATACCTCCGTTAAGGCCTTCTTATCAGCGACTTTGGCACTTTGTAAAAGACGTATCACGTTCTTAGCTCCTTCAACGACCGCGGCTTCGATCCGCAAACGATGTCGAAGCTCCTCTACCCTTTCCTCCAGCGCGAGCTCCAAACTAGGCTCGTATTTATCTGTAATTAGAATGTTCGACATTATCGATATCACGTATACGAATATATACATATACATATATATACACCTTTCATCGAACGGGTATCTGATCGAACGATAACAATTTAAATTCTTACACGACTCGAATGGCGTTTCGTGCTCGTTCGAACATATTTCCCTGACAGAGGAGAATAGATATTGAAAGCACATGGAACAGTCCGAGTGAAGTTACGAATCGCGGACGGACGACTTATTGGAACGCGACTGTGATGGCTTGATATCTACACGAAAAGCAAGATTGCTTTTGCGTCACGCGCGACTGCCAGTGTCCTCCCCGAATATGACATTCCATTCTTCCTACCGCTGTACGAATCAAACGAGGAAAAAGATAACAATGGATTTTTCACATCAAAGGGATAGACGTTGCATAACCATACATAACGCGTATGTACATACTGTACACATTGTAACTCCGATGCATACGTGTACATACGTATTTCAAAGTTTCAGCACAATCGTAAGTTTCATGCCGTTCATTATCGAGCTGGTAACTGGAAAACAGGAAACATCAGGTGAAAAATTATTGACACGCGGAGAATTACAAGATTCACGTTTTTCACGAGCTTGTTCGAACGAAAGTTTCCTTCTCCGCTGAGCAACACAGCTATCATTTTCACGAACATCCGTCATTATTTCCACTAAATTACTGTCGTATCTCATGGGTGGTCTGTGGCCTATATTTCAGCAGTTACCATGATCGAGCCACATAATATACTACCGTGCAACTGTAGTTCGACGTGAGTCACGGCAGCTATATCGAATAACGAACGTTAATTGCCAATAATTATGTCCTTGAGGTGACTAATTTCTTATATACTCTGATTATGATCCTTGTGGCTGTCTCGTACGCAGAACGGAGGCGACGGTACACGCTCGATTTAGTACCTTTATTGCTAGTTGCCTCGCCGTTCGGCGGTGGTGCATCGCCGCGTGCATGTTGTTGCTGACGAGCTTGCCGCACCTTCATTATTCGCATGCGTAGGAACTCGATTTTGGCGCGAGAATCGTCGAGCATTTGTTGAGCCTCCTGCAGTAACTTTTTGTCTCTGCCGCTTGTCAAACTTTGAATCATGTTTTCCGCTCCTTGCTTTACCTGTAATACCCAACAGAGGAACTCAATCACTATGTGGAGAGTTGGAAAAATATTTAATTCCTTGATGTACAAGTAACCACTCGGAGTATAAACTTGCGGCAATCTGGTAACACGGCAATCTATCTAGAACTGTGTGATTCACCTTTTTAAAGGAAAATTTCGGCATTTTTACTCTACTCTCTCGGCGAGATCCGATAAGCGACTACGCGTTTCCTAAACATTGTAAGTATTCACCTACAGCTCGACAGTTAAACCTATTATACTTTGGAACGGATCGCGTAATATGACGTAGGGATACGATTTCGTTTTCACATATATCGCCGCAGCCATGGAAAATTCGTTGACATTCCTAGGCTGGCGAGAGGCCAGAATCGGTGACGTGCATTTCTCAGTTTCTCTCCGAGGGATTATCTGAAAAATAGTTCTCATCCTTTCTTTCTTTCTTTCTTTATCAACTCTCAATATCAATTTCTCGCAACTCGAAAAGTAGAAATCGAAGCAACATCGGCCTTAACGATTATCTTACCTAAGAAGCGATAACTCTTGTTGGAATTCATTTGATCAGATTGGTGTTACGAGTACAAATGAAATTACAACGAAAGCTCAAAGCTTGCTTCTTTGATTAGTGAAAACTACTCGTATCGCGAAATAAAGAGCTATCTTTAGTGTGGGGGGGGGGGGAATGCCGAGGATTCTCCGCTGACTCACAGAACGAGAACCAGCTAGAAATGTTACTTGTCTCGCCTGTAATCACTCGTAGATTGATTACAATAGGAACAGTGTGAACGTCATTGAGATATACTCGCAGGAATATCAGTCAGTGATACAGCAATTGCATAAACAATTACGTAGTTATGATATTACAATAATAATCTTACATATTTTTTTTTTCTAGAATTAAATTAGACACCTACAATTTTATAATAGAAGATATCTAAAACTTAAGTGTTTAACTTCAACCATGAAAACATTGTACATCTAATCCATCGAGTTATGAGTTTTCTTCATTTTTGTTTGTCTCTCTTTCTCTTTTTTTCTTTTTTTTTTTTTTTTT